AAATTGTATGTATATATATATATATATATATATATTAAAAAGCTAATTTAAATATTTGATACTCTGAACATTTGAAACTTATAAGTGTGAGATATTTGAGAATTGTAGATGTATTCATATAAAAAAGGAGAAAATGCATTAAATTATCTGTAATTCATAAAACAATATAATAAATTGTTATTTTTTCATTAAAGCAAAATAAGTATCAGTGAAAACAAATATAAAGGATACTTGAATTCACCAAAATTATTATTTGAAAAAGTTCGTATGATATTTTAATATAAAATTTTCATCAATAAAAATTTAGTGACTGTCACGTGACATTGACAGATTTATCAGTATATAGTATTAGATATATGCTAGTCTGTTCAGTAATAGAAGAAGAAGAAAAAAAGACAAATTTCGAGTATTAATCATGAGGCTACCCATGATCAAACCGTAACAAATATTTTTCTGTACAAGTACTGATGTTTTTTTACACACCTATTTATAATGGAATGAAAATGAACACATTTTAGTTATAAAATAAATGATAGGTATAATTAATATCCTCTAATAGCATTATAAGTGTTAAAAGGGAGAGCATATACATGAGGAAGAATTAAATGGTTTACTTTTGTTTTCTTATTTGTATCACCCATTCTGGTGGTTTAAATACTTGTTTCTTTTCTTTTTTAAAGAAAGCACCAAATGTTGTGAAGAGTTATGTTCTGCATGTATTGCTAGCACTGACATGAAAATAACCAGTTACTAAACACTAAATTCATATAATTTTAATTTGTGTGTGTCTGAAATAATATCAGAATTTCTTTATTCTTTTCTTTATCTCAGTAGTAGTCTAAGTGTTGTTTAATCTAATTGCTTAACATTTCTTTTCATGCAGCCCAGCTTTTGGCCCAATGGCAACAAAGTACATGTATGTAACAGTGGCTCTCTTATTTATGTGTAGTTTCTTTGTCTGAATTCTTTGCTTGTGGCATTATAAATATGTTCCCCCAAAAATAGAAGAGAGATGGGAAAAATATCATAAGCTGTATATAATTTTTTGTTTTTGAATAAATAACTTACTTTACAATAACATAACCACAATTCTTAAATTTGTTTTATTTACTTTGATGTCTGATATGTGTGTGTTGGTTTTCTTTTATATAATCATAATACTTAAATTTGATTATTTTTATTTTATTTACTTTGATGTATGATATATGTGTTGCTTTTATGTATTATATAACCATAATACTTAAATTTGATTATTTTTTCTTTACTTTGATGTCTCATACATGTGTTGCTTTTATGGGATTTTTGTTTAACTTAAACTATATGTTTTGCTTTTTGTGTTAACTAAACATTACTTTATCTTCCAGTTTCAGCATTATCTTCCACAATTAAGTTTAAAATAGTTTGTGCATAAACATCTCCCTTCCAGCAACCAACTATATGTCTTTTGCTCTGCAACTTGTGGGTGTTATCTTCTTGCATTAATATAAACTCTTTTAATAATATCAAGCATGAACAATCAGCTCAGTACATGTATTTTTTTACATTTAATGAAGGTTCATTTGCTTTTTAGTTTTTGACAGTTATCACTGAACTTGCATGCATGCTGATAAATCCTTATCATCATGGCGCATGCATCTGTCTATACTTGTTCTTACTTTAACTCTTTAGAGTCATATCAGTATCTTGCTGCATTCATAATCTCTTTACTCCTAAGCTTTTGAGAACCTTTCTATTATCTTCCAGCATTCAATTAAAGTCCATTTTCTCATCAGCTTTTAAGAACTTTTATAAAATCCTTCAACATTTAATTGAAATTAAAGCTTGTTTGTTTTTTTGTGTTTGAGAAGAACCATAAAGTCTTTTTTTTTTGCAAGTAGCTATTAAGTTATTTTACTGTTCAGCTTTTTGCTAAGTGTTGCAATATTCAGTCAAAGTTAATTTATAGTTGCACCTGACAAAACCTGCATCTGTATGTTAAATTGAAATATTATTTAGGTGTTTTTTCATTTTTAAGAATTATATATAGTTAAAGATAATTGATCAAATGTTGTGTATCAGTCTAACTATAAAAAAACATATTTCACTCTATAAGTGTTTCTTCACATATCTAATTCTAGATATTTCTAGTACAAATTTTCTGAACATTGGCTAGCAATATAAGGTTTGAGGTTTAAACTCAATTTACTGTCAGTGCTTTACATCATAACATTTAATTTCTAATTTAGCCTACTGTGCAAAAGTTTTGTTTTATGTTTCAATACTTGCCTTATGCAAATTTCACCTCACACTAAAATAACAACCAAAACTAATTTAAGTATTCAAATATCATAAATCACAAGTATGAGTTATAAATGAAATGCTGAGTTTCAAACCTTACAAACTGTTTAGCCAGGTAAATTTAGGGTTATTGGGTAATGGTTTGTCTGCAATTTGTAACGTGTTGTAGATATTTTTTATCCTTCCAATAATTCTGTACATATTTTATAAAATCTCACAAAATAGAATTTCTTACAAAGCTTGTTAATTTTATGTGTATGTTCAGTGATCAGGCATTTTCATTTTGGATGTAAAAAATTACAGGCTATAGTAAGTTTACCTAAGTATAAAAATTTAATAAAACCTATTTTGTATTTCATGGAACTAATGAATCTTTTACTCTTGTTTTAAATCTCATTATTACTTTATTTAAGGTTACCACTATATATATATGTCCTTACTATTTGTTGTCACTCAGGTTTAATCATTTCTTAGTAACTTATTTTATCATTGTTGTTTTATATAACTAGATTATAATTACTAACTAGTTTTGTAGACTACTAATCATGACATATATATATATATATTCATTTGCCACAATGTTCTTGTATGTATTTGTTCTTGCTCTCTTTCTCTCCTGTTTTATTTCCTGTATACCAGTTTGCTTGAGTCTGACTTTATTTGATTGAAATTGTTTAATTAACAATAAAACATTTTTCTGTTTATTGAGTTTTCAGTAACTTGAACTGTGGAACTGTTGTACATAAATTGACTCAATTCTTATAAAAAAAAAATTAAATTGAAAGGTTTAAAAATGTCATAGTAGAATACTTTACATGTGAAATTCCAACTATACTTTATTAAAAGTGTGGTAATATTCAGTAAACATTAAAAAACAAAAACATCCTAGGAAGAGTTTTGATAGGTTTTCTGTATCGTTGGTTAAACAGATCCTTCACCAAGGCCAAGCTATCTTCCAGATAAAGAGACATCCAATATTGTGATTCCACCTCCTGTGTCGGTATGTTTAGGTATTCTTATGTTTGTAAATTACATGCAGAAGTGTACATGGTATTTAGTGAAGAAAATAAATTTGTATTGAGTGGGTGTTAGTTTCCTTGTTGGTTTTTTTTGTCCTGAAATTGTATTGAGAATGTTAATAGAATTAGTTGTTTATTGTACTCTTCTGTTTAACGTTATGTGTTTATAAATATATGAATGTAAAAAAAAAGAGAGAAAGAAATAGGAAATGAAAAATATAAATTTATCTGGAGTTCTGATTGACAAGATTTAAACTTTATTGAATGAATCACATTTTGCTACGTAATTATTAGTTTTGGGTGATCAAAATGTAAGTCCTATTATCAAGCAACTTAATTGCAGGGCTCCCAGTATAGCCAACTTTAAATATATTATGTTAAGACTACAAGGACTCTCTTATATCCCATCTACCCAGGAATGTTAAAAATTATCAGACTTGTGATACTTTTTATCAAGTTAGATATTTTGATGACCACGAGTTTTGTGGTACTCCACTTCTAGCTAGATATTTTGATGACCACTAGTGTTGTGATACTCCACTTCTAGCTAGATATTTTGATGACCAATAGTGTTGTGATACTCCACTTCTAGCTAGATATTTTGTTGACCAATAGTGTTGTGATACTCCACTTCTAGCTAGATATTTTGATGACCACTAGTGTTGTGATACTCCACTTCTAGCTAGATATTTTGCTGACTCTCAGTCTTGTGATTTTCTACTTCTAGCTAGATACTTTGTTGACTATCAGTCTTGTGATACTTAATTTATATCTAAATATTTTGATTGTTACTAGTACGTAATGCTGTGACAGACATTAAAGTGCAATTGCACCCCTAATAAATTTAGCACACCATAAAGTTTTTTTAGAACTAGCTTTAAAGGTCATAAATCACGAGCCAAATTTAGTATAGAAAAATATAATGTCTATTTAAAATATGAAATTAACCATCCTCTGATTATTCAGTATTATTTCCTACTGTCATGGCCTTTGGACCTTGTCATCTCCAATAATTTCAAATGTGTCTGCCACTATGTGATACTTTACTTTTAGATAGATACTTTATTGACTACCAATCTTGTGATATTTTCTTCTCGCTAGATAAATTGATGGCAAATGGTCTTGTGATATTTGTATCTAAATAGTTTTTGTTTTTAATTATTTGTTTGTTTTATTACTCATCTGATTTTAGAAAGGCAGGTGTAAAGGCATTGGTCATAAAATCTGGTTATGTTTGATTGTTTGGAAATTCGTATTTATGTGTAGTAAATACATTTAGTCTGAAACATTCAGTTGTAAAATCTGAGCATATTTCATTGCTTTTTTTGGTTTCCAACATATGTAGTATTTGCTGTAAAAAGATGGTGGCACGACAGGATGATCAGTTTTAATTCAAGCATTATTCAAAATATTCATATTTATTATCTAATGTATTAAACTTAAAATGAGTGCCCAAACCTATAGCTAATCAGTTGAAAACCATAATATGTTTGTTATAAATACTAAATAAATGTTAGTATAACAGAATTTGTGGTAAAGCAAGAGCTAGTCATAGATGACTGTAAAACAAAAATGACACAAACTACATCCAAACATATCAATTTGACACAGTTTTCTTTCATTTTCTCAAATATACTTTATAGTGAATGCATTAAAACTCGGCATAATGTAATAAAATTATCATGTGGAAGACTATGTTTTAGGAGCATTTGCTGTAGAATATACAGAATAGTTTGGAAATGGAAGAATATATAAAACTTGTTCCATGAGTGTCTCATACTATCATATTTGACTATCAATAACAACATATTTTAATATATTATTACAAGATTAATGTTATTAAATAACTTACATAAAAAATGAAAGGTAATTTGTTTTCTGATGTTTTTATGACACAACTTTTAAAATACACATATAATTACAACTCACTATGTTTATAGTGCAGTTGCCAAGTTTTATATATCTTTTATTTCAAGAAGATAACATTCCACAACATACTTGCCTCCTATCACACTACAGCTATTACTCGACTGCCAGGGCTTTTTCTTTTGCCTATCTAAGCATTGGTCTGATTTTTTCTTCCTTACTCCAGTCTTTTATACCCCACTTAATTATGCTTGGCAATATTTGTCTCATTACACTCTCAACCTACGTCAATGCGTCCTCTATCTTGGTACTGTATATAAGCACCTCATTCAGATGATATCACTTTTTCTCAACAAAGCATTCACTAAGGGGTTTCTCTGTCCTACGATCATTGGAGATACTTTGAGTGTTTTTCGTGTTACCTAGTTGATTTTCATAAAAAAAGAAATATAGCATTAATTCCCAGATTATTTCTGGCGAGGAGAAAAATCAGGTCTCTCATAATCGATCTCTGATGTCTAGCATTGCTAAACGATCTTATTCATAATGAGATGGAGACATATGTTCTTTCGGGTGGTGTTCTGGAGAGAATTTAAATTTGCTTTTTCCTGCACCTTCCTTTATTCTGTTGGCTTCTCAGGAGGCCACTTTGGGGTAAGCTGCCTCAGGCTCCTTTTCTTTAGTTGATCCATCGAGTGTGTGATGTTTTGGTCTTTCCCCAATTGCTTTTGAGCCTGCACCTTACTTGATGGCTAAAAGGTCTGAGAGTGAATACTTTTGTTTTCCCTCCATCCACTGACATTGTGGTTGTCGGAACTATGTGAGTTAGCCTACCACCTCCAAGTGGAAGCATATTTCTGTAATTAACCTTAATAGATCACAACTTCCTAGGATTTGTCTCACCTTATATGTGATGCCAAGTTATTTATTATCTCTCTAAACTTTGTTGGAAGACTCTCAGGATCACCAAGCTCATTGATGATGAGCTGGGACCATTGGTTCTATTGTCAGCTTCTACATTCATCCTTGTTGTCATTGGTGTCTCAACTTTCCTCAGCTCCTACAGGGGATCATAGTTCCGCCCCTAATCGAGGGTCCAGACGTCAGCCCCTCGGTCCATTAGTACCCAGAATAGATTCTGTCCATGTCCAAGGGTTCTGCTGCTTGGTTGGAATTATACCAGCAGTATCAGTGAGTGTTGTATGCCTTTGGGGTCTGCGGTCCTTGAGTCAGGATTAGTCATTCAGTACACATCTTCACTGCCATTATCCACCCATTCTGTAGTGTTTCTGTCTCCTGCAGATCCTCGGATTTTGAAACTTAGTTTTAGGGGTATCAGAGTTTGGTTGATCTGGGTGTAGAGAGAGAGAGTTGTGCCAGTTCTTCCAGGGTTTTATTTCTGTCAGTTTGTTTGGCCCAAGAAGACAGGAGACTGACATCCAGTCATCAATTTTTCTTATCTATATCAATTGCTAGATTTTCCAAGGTTCACAAGTGACTCATTCCTCACTCTAAGTTGGCATTTTTTTACTATGATTGTGGATATTGGCATTTTTGTGTACAAGGGTCAGGTACTGCAGTTCAGGGTTTTCACCTTTGTACCAGCATCAACTCCATATGGATTCTGCCAAATCATACAACCTTTTTCTCATCACCTCCATTCCCTAGCCCTGTGCACACACCATTCCATGGATGACTGATTGCTGTTGGCACTTAAAGTCTTCTACTTAAAGGAAAGCTTCATTATCAGAGCTGAGACATCTATTCTTGCTCCAACACAATATATCATCAGTCTGGGAATTTATTTCAGCACGTATCTCAGTCTGGCTCAGCCGACTTCCATCCGGCTACACGCTATGGAACAGCACCTCACCCCTGAAGACAGGACAGGATTAGAACTCTAGCTCTTCCCTCAAATTCATGTTACCCAAGGTAATAGATATTATTTGTTCCAACCTATTGTCAGGTCCTGTCAGTAGCACCAGATTGGCAGCTAAATCCTGGTTTCTGCTTCTGCAGTACCTTCAGGAGTGCCCACCTCTTTAGCCATCTCTATGGAGATAGTCATGATATGACATTGTATACCTGGCTATCCAGAAGCTCAAACTTTAGGCACAAAGGTTATGCAGTCCTTTGCATGGCATCAGGGTTTAATTACTAAGGTTGCCATGTGTCTGTCTTTGCTTAGTCCTGCAATGGATGCTTATCAATGGAAACAGCACACATATTGGCAATTGTGTATTGAGAGGAGGTTAAACCACTTCGATCAGAAGTGCCAGTCATAGTTCGTTTTTTGACCTGGTTCTTTAACAAGGGTTTAGCATCTTCCATAATCACCTTATATAAGGCAGCCTTATCAACTACCTCTATATACTCGAAGAGATGAAAATTATTTGAGTCCCCAGTATTCTCCAGCCTCCTCAAGTCATTTCAGGTCCATCATCCTAAACAACCATTTCAGTTACCTAACTGGGATATTAAGGTGGTATAACATGTTCTTTCTTGATATCTGTTTGAGCCCTTAGCCTCATGTACCATGTGTCATCTTTCTTTTAAGATTGATTTTTTGTTGCTGCTGGCCTGCGGACATTGCCAGTCGGAGTTCTTTGTGCTGCATGTGTACAGGACACTTTATCATTCTACCTATGTCCTTTTTACCTCAGACACTGGCAGCCAGGGAGAGGATAATTCCTTTTCACTGATTCATCTGACTGTTATATGTCACATCTATGACCGATCAGATCCCGATCATTTGTTATGTTTCCTGGAATTTATCCCTGGTTATCTTGACAAAGTGAGTATGAAAATTGATCTATATTGCATATTCTGGGCTCTCTTTTGGAAGCGAGGAGAATTCTGCAAATCATGTCTCATCAGATGAGTCATATTTCTATGTCCTTAGTGGCTTGGTTGAATTGCCTGCTGGAGAACATTGTGCTGACTTGTATGTTGTTCTCCCCCAATACTTTTATATCACATTATTTGCATGATATGACAGTATCTTCATCTGAGGGTTTTGACTACCCTCTTTATCTATCTTAACTACTTCTGCTAGATTATACAGAGGGGGGTGAGTATTTTCATTGCCGTGCTTGTCTCTTTTCAGGATCCATTACCTCTGTGGCGAGTATTGACCAGGCAGGTGTGCTTTTATCAAACTAATTCTGCACTAGCAACTACTAATTCAATATATTTTATCTAAGTTGCAACAGGCTCTGTAGAAATTATGTGTACCATAAGACCACCTTGTGGCTGACCAGGTTGTATTACTGTACCGCCACTCATGGACTATCATGAGTAAAGCATAAGGGGATCCTGCCCATCCCTGTCGATCATTGGATTGAATAAATCAGGGTCAGTTTGCTTTTCAAAATTTAGGGAACTTGGTTCACCTATTGCACTGTTTCCAGAGCAATGTTCCTCAGAACTCCTCAAAGACCATTACCCCCATCATATTCTACTAGTGGAGCTAGGGAGTCCTTGCCACACTCAGTTTCCAGTCACTGGGGTAGTGAACAGAGGCATTTCCTCCAGAGTGTTCAAGTGATTTCCCCCACTCTTGGAGAAAAGGGCAAAGTTGGGAGCTCTCCTACCCTGGTCCCTGGATGTTTTTTTCCAGATGTTAGTAGGAGAGGCACCAGCTTATGCAGGAGCCTACTTGTAATACCTGTTCAAATTTTACGTTCAGCTATCCGGTTGGGTCGAGTGTGGCCCTTCTTTTTGATCAATATTGGTTCAGTACATTGTTCATGGAAGAGGGTCCATTGTCTCCTTTTAATTCCAAACACAGAGTCATCCCATTCCTGGTCCTTGGTTGAGCACAATTTGTTCTATCTCCTCCCCATACAATCGGAGACAAGAAGAATTTACCTTGCACACTTGGTTGGGGAAATGAAGATCGGTGTTCAAAATTCCAGACCAGATAATTTCTGTAAGTCCAACCCTGAGCAGTGGAACCTTGGTTGGAGCCTGGCCAGTAGTAATGGTAAATCATTTAAAATTCCATCCACAGTACATGAATTAAGTTTCGGGTGAAGAGCATACCCTTTCTGGATGTGGTGTGGTTCTCCCACTAGGGTACCAAACTTCTATTGACACACCCATGATCTATACAGATGCTTTCTGTACAGATAATATCCTCATCAGCCCCTCCATCTTATCAATGTGGGATTCTAGCTTTAGTGTGAGAGGAGGTAAGTATGTTTTGTAAGTTAACATTTTCTTAAATTGAAAATGTATTTTCAGTAATACTTACCTCCTTTCACACTCTCTGGCCCTTTTTCCCCACTAAGAGCTGGCGTTAGAGACTACAGATTGAGTCAATGTTTAGATGAGCAAAGAAAGAAACCCCAAAAGTCAATTAATAGCTGTAGTGTGAGAGGAGGTAAGTATTATTGGAAATACATTTTTGACTTAAGAAAATGTTAACTTTCAAAAACTCAAATGTCAGATCAGGAAACTTAGAAAAAACGCATGTGAAGAATTTTAAAATTATGTGCACAGCATTGTGGATGTTGATTATAAAATTTCTCTGCAAAATTACATCTTTTACACACACATATTACAATTCATAAAAGATAAAAGGAATAAAGAAAAATATATAATGCAAGTTAAAATTGAAACAACTTATGAAAAAGGTTAAATTCTATAAGAAAGGAAAATGTGCATTGAAACGAGATGGTTGTATGGCTCCAAATATTGTAGATTAATTTCATTTCTAGTCTTTATCTTTTGTGAATATGTGATGGAGCTTTTATAAGTCATAGAATTCAAAAGTACTTAATTATGGGGTTACGAATTGTTTGCCTATAAGTGTATCTTGGTCCTGAGTTTTTAAACCAAACTTAAGTGCAGCACAGAGATACACCTGTAGGAAAACATTTTCCACTGAAAAAAAAATATATATATATATAAAATTGAGGACTTTTACATTTTTGGACTTGTAAGTGCTCCAACAGACATTCACAAAAAAGAATGACTAGAAAGAAAATTAATTTACATTCTGAGAACTCTTCAACCATCTGGTTTAAATGAGCATTTTTCTTTCAAATAGAATTTAATTTTCGATAATTTGTTTGAATTTTAACTTGTATTTTCTAATTTTCTTTATTTATTTGTAAAATTAATGTAAAAGATGTAATTTTGCAGAGAAATTTTATAATCAACATTCAAAATGCTGCACATGCAACTTTCAAATTCTGCACATACACTTTTTTCTAAGCTTCACAATGTGATGAAGAGTGCTATCTTGAAATATTGCCCTCTTGAAATAAAAAGTATAAACTTGTCAATTTTGTAACCTGTTCTTTAATTTCCATATCTTTGTTGCCTTTGCAGTTAATTATATTTTCTACTTGATACAATAGCATAAACCTACTGTTAACGTATTGTTACTTTTAAGAATCCTGTGTATATAAATCATATAAAGAGTATTGTTACTTTTAAGAATCGTGTGTATATGAATCATATAAAGAGTATTGTTACTTTTAAGAATCGTGTGTGTATATAAATCATATAAAGAGTATTGTTACTTTTAAGAATCGTGTGTATATAAATCATATAAAGAGTATTGTTACTTTTAAGAATCGTGTGTATATAAATCGTATGAAGAGTATTGTTACTTTTAAGAATCCTGTGTATATAAATCATATAAAGAGTATTCTTACTTTTAAGAATCGTGTGTATATGAATCATATGAAGAGTATTGTTACTTTTAAGAATCCTGTGTATATAAATCATATAAAGAGTATTCTTACTTTTAATAATCATGTGTATATGAATCATATAAAGATAATGTTTGAAAAAAATGGCTATTTAGCAAATACATTTTTTTATTTTGACTGAATTCCATGATAATGTTTAGAAACTGTAAAACACATTTTATGGTAAGTAGTTTGAGTGCATTTTTGTTCTTATTAGCCAAAACCAGAACCATCTCCACCCTCCACTCCTGAGGAAGAAGAAGAGGAATCAGGACCACCTCCACCAGTAGCTGCCCGACCAGAAAAGACTAAGTCTATAGTAAGTAAGCTTAATTTTATTATATTTTCATTGCACAAGAAAATTTTATAAAGCAGGTAAGTATGTTTGATTGAAATGTAATTACAAATAGTATTAGAATGTGTACGTTAGTTAACTTCATGTTTAAACTTAATTTTAAGAAAACTTATGAAGTTTATTCATTTAAATGTTTTTTGTAAATTTATATTTTCTGGATTATTTTGAAACCTCCAGAATTGTTTATTATACAATAAGCCAATGACTGGTAAATAAAACACTAATTTCTTCTATTTTGTTGACATTGTGAAAAACCTAAAGCTGTAGGCTATCTGTAGAAATGCTCTTTCTACACTTTTATATGTTTTTCTAGTCATTTTACATTAGTGTTTAAAAATCATGAATGACATATGGAACAGTGTATGGTTAATTGATGGATCAGATGTACAGACTTGTATTTGACAACTGACCACCACATGTGTCTTTTAAAATTGTTTGTTATTCTATAGGGTTTTTCCTTTGGTTGTAATATTTTTCTAGATTTAAAGATATATTTCTCTATCTTAACTATGTACATCCAGGATAGTATATCTCTCTCTCTTTCTTAACATTATAGTACACAAAGCCAGTAGATGAAGAAGTAAAGAATGGAGCAGGGTTTGGATTTGATAAGAGAGATATTGCCAATAATAACAATACAGCTGCAAGACCTAAAAAGAAAAAAATGTCAGATGAGGAAATTATGGAGAAACTGAGAATTATAGTTGCTGTTGGAGATCCAAATAAAAAGTATACAAAAATGGAGAAAATTGGTCAAGGGTAAGAACTTGGATAGTATTATTTTATAGAGATCAGTGAAATGCCAACCGTTTTTCACTCATGTTTTATCTATTTTCTAATGGGAAATAAATTTAAACTTGAGCTAAAACTTTAAATTTTATTTAGTGGGCTTGTGTTAGGGTCTTGTATAATTTATTTAATAACATTAAAACCTAAATATATTAAGATAAATTTATTTAATTTTATAAACCATAAGATAAAAAAAAATATGTTGTCAGTAGTGAATACCCTTTAGTATTATTAATATTTTTCTTAAAATGTATTTTTAATTTTAATTTTTAAAGCATGCTAAAGACAAGTATTATTAGACCTAGCAACTTATCTGCTTTCCTATCGTATGTGACTCAAACCATCATTCAAGTTTATTTGCAAGCAATGTTGTAAATAAAAGAAAAACATTTTAATTGCTGTTGATTGTTTGGTAATATATATATTTTGCCAAGCCTCTGGCAAAGTGTAATATATCATGGTAGTAAAATTATAATGATCTAACAACAATTAGAAGGATCATCTGGAAATTGTACTCCAGAAACACTATCTAGCTAAAAAAGATAGCTGTACCAGTCTGAAAAACCCATTAAAAGTAACAGTTTGTTGACTACTATTAAGTTAACATCATACTAGTTTTAAATTTTTTCACAATATCTTAAATCAGAGCTGGTAGTAGGTTAATATATTGTACAAAATATCTTTTAAGCTGTGTATTATACTTTTTCACTTTTCGTTGATCATTTGGTTTTGTGCATATATATACATGTCTCTTAGAATTTTGTCTGGTGTTACTGCCTAACACTATTGTGATACATACATCAAAGTGTGAACCAGCATTATGCAGAAGATCTCTTTCTGTTAAAAAAGAATGTAGGAAATTAAGTAAAACTGCATCAGTTGTAGTTCTACAATTAAGATAAAGTTCTAAATTAACTTTTTCATATTAATACATTAGCTTTAGCAATTATAAAAACCCATAGTAACTTCATAGAAATTTCAAGAACTTTCTAAAAGCTTTACATATCTCATAAACTTGATATCTTGTTGTCTTCACAAGATTCTAGCTCACTTGTTTATCAGATGTTTTCAACTTGGCTCCAAGCCCAGTCTATGCCTTTATTAGTAAATTGTTTTACTTTAAAAATTTGTCTCTATTTTTATAAAGTAATTATTTGGTAAAAGTAAATTTGTGCTGTAAACTGTAACTCTTGAAAATTGGACATATGAGCTTTTAAGTGTTAATATTGCAAGTTCAGCTAAACTTTTTAGCTTATATTGACTTCCTGATACTTAATTTGTCTCACATTAAATATGATGTAATAAATACAATTTAGTATATCTATACAATGCTGTATAATATCTTGAGTATTAAAATATTGGATATTACTTTTATAGTCAAATACTGTGTAGAAAACAGCATAAATATTATACATTATATATACAATGGTGTATGATTACTGTGTTTTCAATTGTTTCTGGTACTGTGTTGTTATATGTTCTGATATCTCACCTTGCTTTGTTAAGTTGGTGTGTGTATTTTATAGAGCTGTTGGTATTGTGTTGAAAACTATATACAATGTCTACAAAGTAGTTTTTTTGTGTGTGTCATAGGGCTTCAGGTACTGTGTACACAGCTATTGAGATAGCTACAGGTATGGAGGTAGCCATCAAGCAGATGAACCTTTCTCAACAACCCAAGAAGGAACTAATCATTAATGAACTGCTAGTGATGCGTGAAAACAAACATCCAAATATTGTTAACTATCTAGACAGTTATCTTGTGGGAGAGGAACTGTGGGTAGGTTATATACTTGCCTTTTATTATGTAAATGTTCATACTTTGTATTTAGATATTATTTTTGTTATACAAGTATTGCACAGCAGTTTTACTCCTGTCAACATTTCAAAATCAGCTTATTAGTTTTTTTATCATTGAACCCACCTTTGCATGTTTTTCACCAAATTAATGTGTATAGCATATGCATTATAACTTATGAAGTACAACAATATTGTGTAACATAAAATTAATTGTATTAATTAATGAGATCTTACCCATACCCATATTACATTATTTAAGCACTTTCATCACAACATGAAATTCTGTGTTCACTCTAAGTAGTGACATAAAACATGTCACAGTTGTATTGATCATTCTTTAAACATGGTGACAGATAATGTGTCATTACTGCAACACACTCAACATGTCAATGTTGTATTGATCATTCATCAGACATGGTAACAAATAACTATCGATCATTCTTTAAACATGGTAATAGATAATGTTATGCCATTATTGCAACACACTCAACATGTCACTGTTGTATCAATTGTTTTTTAAATGCTGTAATAGATAATGTTATTCCATTTCTGCAACACACTCTTTAAGAATATGTTTTTTTTATATAGAAACATGATTTCACAAAAATACTTGTATATTTTACAAAAAACAGTCCCTACTGCTCCAGAACTAATTATCATACATCACATAATACATTGAAATAACTACTACATTTATTATTGAGTGAAATCTGTTTATCATTTTGGGAGGAAAAGAAAACATCTCGAGAAATACTTTTTTTTCTCCATATTTTACAAAAAAGTAGACTTAATAAAATGGAAGTATGAACTATATCATACCATTCACATGAACATATAAAGTACATAAAATAATCATTAATGGTACATGTTAATGAATTATATTGATGATACACACAGTAGTCATTAGACACAGTGATTGTATCACTATTGTATTGACTGTTCTTTAAACATGGTAACAAAGAATGTTACAATGTTATGCCATTACTGCAACATGTCAAAGTTGTTGATCATCATTAACATACATATTTGTATAAGCAAACTTGTACTAGATATAAAGTAGTATCTTTCTGAGACAATAACTCACCTCTACACTCAATTGCTATCTACCTCTTGTGACTGCCTATGAGACTTGCTTGCCACTAGCCATGAGGTAATTCCCACCTAAATTCATGTGTTTAATGTGAACTGCACTGGTGCATGATGACATCATCATGTGATAAAAGTTTTCCACCAATAGGAGAGTGAAACAACCATCATACTTATTAACTCCCCCTATGCACTTGCACTCAGGATAATGTCATTCTTTTCCTTGGCATTCTATGACAGAGAGATATTCAGGTTTTGTCTGGCTTCATTCTGATGAGATTTGCATTTATTAACAAAACTTTGATTTTCCTTTTATTTAGCTTTTGTTCCAAAAGCTTTAATTTTCATCATGAATTCTCAAATGAAGATGATGTTTACTTATTCCTTTGTGAGTTATAATGTTACATGCATGGGCCTTGTTTTTAAACATGACTTATAAAGGCTTGTTAACTCTTGGGGACTTCCAGCCTTTGTTCAACATACTTACTGGGCCTCCTACTCTTGTCCAGTCAGCCAGCGTTCTTTCTCTTCAGTTGGGAATGGCCTATTGTACTAGGAATTTAACATGTTTCATTTGTGTAGTGCCTTACCATTCAAGTTATGACCTTACCTTTCCTATTTCTTTCTCAGTTATGTTTCTTTCTTTATCTTTTTCCCATGTCCTTTAATATTTCACTTTCTTCAATTCATGAACTCAATTCTTGGGGTTTACCTTTTTCTTCTTGCTTGTTATTAGGGTTAATGCTGTTTCATTTCCCTAACAGCTCCTCTCTCACACCCAAATGCCTCATCCACCTTAAATTTGTGGCTTTTTTATCCTGACTTGCAGACATTCTTCCTTTCCTTTCTAGATTCCCTGTCTTTGTATCTGTTTGGCCACCTTTGGAATCAGGCCCCTTCCTTTCTTTTTTGCTCCCTGGTTCCCCATTTTCATCTCTTCTCCTTTTTCTCACCAACCTCCTGTATTCCCTCTCCATCCTCCAACTTTTAATAGAGGCACTTCCTTGTGTTCCTGAGAGGTTTTCTGTAGAAGTTTGTTCTCTTCTATTTACCAGCTTAACCTGTTCCACTTCTACTCTGTTCATCCTTCCTTTGTTTTCCTGCCATTGGGACTCAATGGGTTGAGTTGCATTCCATTTTACTGTATACCTCCCTCCTACTTATGTACGTGGTCTTCATCAGGCTCCCTTTCTTCACTAGGACATCTTTGGTGGTGTTAATTTCTCACTGGAGACCTGGACTGAAGTTGTATCACATCAACCTTTGTTATTTTCCTAGAGTTTTCCTTCTTTTTCAACCTTATCCTTTTACTCCCGTTCCTCATCTGCATCAGTTTATCCTAACCTTTCCATTTTCTTCATCTCTTGTCTCAACTGAACTCAGCCTTCTCCTTTTCACCTACAAGTTCTGGAGAATCTGATCAACAGGATTTTAGCTTTTCATTCTCATCCTATGCAAGGAGTTCTTTTATTTTAGGGATTCTGGCTCCTCAGAAACCTATCATTCCTTTGGGGCAGTGGTCCTTGCAGATCCAAGGAATTCTTTATCGGGTTCCTTTGTCTTCATTGTGAGCCTCTTCTCTGCTCAAGAAATTGTCATGGTGACTGCTCCATGCCCATCCTATTTCCAGCATTCCCTTACCAACTCCCATGTTGGATTTTTTTCTTCACTGATTGAGGCACATTTGGATGATGACATAACTTCTGGCATTGGATGCAGGATGAGTTATCACTCTACTTCATTGTACAACCTCCTTGCTGCTCGTCAGGCATGTTCCCATTTTATGCTCCTTCTGATGGATCAGTATGATCCACTTCAACATATTCATGGTCATTTCTCACATTTGCTGTCAAGGGGCACACATTTCAGATCCTTTGCTTTTGGACATTGGAGCTACTCTTCTGGGCTCATTTTTATTGGATTTATCTTACTGCCTGGAGCTATATGCTCTGTGGTGGACCACCTCTCTTGTGTGGACGGTGTTTAATCTATAGAGAGGTGTCTTCACACTCAAGTCTTTCGTTGGGTATGCCCTTCTTAGATGCCTTTGCCATCCCTCTCAGCTATAATGTTCCTCTCTTCTGATCCCCTGTTCCTCTGGCTGTCAAAGCTCTCAAGTAGGAATGGTTTCACCTTTTTCTATATATCTATCTTCCTCTTCCACTCCTCCCTTGTGCCTTGATATGCAACAGTCCTTCTTGAATCCTACTATGGTGCCTTTTTGGCTGCCTCTGCCTTGGTTTCCTCTGCTTCTTTGCTTGACATCCAGACCCCACCTTTTCATGTACCCTGTGTCCCCTCACTCTTGCTTCAACCTCACATGTCCCCTTTTTGTCAAGGGATGTTGTCCCTTCATTTTCATGTGTAACCTTCTTTTCACATTCCTATTGATCTTCCATTTTGACTGTCTAATGACAATAGTTGCAGTCTCTTGTCATAGGTCTATCCACTTCTCCTGGCTGTCCTTCTGTACTCCACCTTTCTGCATTTTTTAATTGGCTGTTTGACCATAGTTTGTCAGTCTCTGCCATTGCTGGTTATCTGGTGGTGTTGTCCACTGCATTTTTCTTTCCCTGTCCTCTCCTTCCTTCTTCACTGTTCTCCTTGCCTGAATCCCATACCCGCCTGCATCATTTATGTGATTTTGCACACTATCATACATGCCCTGTTCGAGCCGTTGGCTTCTTGTTCTTTGTATCACCTTTTGTCACCATTGTTTGGTTGTCTATGCTAATAATGCTTCTTGTACCCTCTTCCTCTGCACTTATGTACTCTCCTACCTGGACAGATCTTTCACTCTTCAGACTTCTGCTGCTCAGGGGGTTAACCATTCTTTCACTTCTGTCTCCCTTCCCTCTATCTCACATCTATAATCATTCAGACCCAAATCAGCTCCTGTGTATTAATTGGGTTGTTAAATGTTTCTTATCATAGATTTCTCCCTTTCTGGGCCTCTGCCATTGTCTGTTTCTACTTTGTGACCCCTCTTCTTTCAAGGACCTCTCTCCTTTTACCTTTACTGGATGGGTCTCTTCACTTCTCTGGTTGATATATTCATCTCTGGATGTGGATGCTTATGAACTATTTCACATTTCTTTGCATTTAATTTGTCACCTTTCTCATTCTCTTGCTTTCCATCTTTGCAGCCCCTAAGATGAGATCTTCCAGATGGGCATATGGATGATTCTTCACCATCTGGTTGTTTCATCTCCTGCAGGATTTCGAAATCCAACAGCCACCATACTTCAGTCTACACCCAGTCTTTGAAATGGTTACATATGTTTCGCCTCTCATTTTTCTCTCTTTCTGTCAAAAAGGAACTTGCCAGGTGGCTGATGTTGCCTCACAGGTTATGCTTATTTTCCAAAAGCCACTTCAAGCCAGGATAATGGAAAGCACTCAAGCCATCTACCCTGTATTTACCAGTGCCTCCTGTGAGATGAGGTGTTCTGCAAAATCACTTGAGGTATCCTCATCGTATACAAATTTATTCAACTGTCTGATGCAGACTGTACTAATTCCATGGACTATCATGGAAAAAATCCAGCACTGGAGAAGTGACTGCCCACTTCTTTGGTTGCTTGCTTCTAAAAATATGGATCTGCAGTCACCAGTGCACTGTCTCCACAAAAAGACCTTTCCGGCTGGGGATCCGATGGAGATCTGGTCATTTCTCCAGGTCTTCCAAACACAAATCCCCCTTCCCCTCCCCAAGTAGAGTGCAGAAAACCCTTGCTACTTACCAGTTCCTAGCTGCTGGGGTGGTGGACCATGGAGAATCCTCACTGATTGGGCTTAGCGCAATACAATGAAAAGTAGGGCAGTGGTGACACTGTCAGTGTAGTACGCTCACCCCTTAGATAACATAACACATAACTAATGTGCTCTTCTTCAGCAACCAAAACCTGTTGAGATGAGCACGTTGTATCATCTGATTGCACCACACTACGTGTATTGATTTGCTGACCACTTTTCTGCAAATGTTTGGATGGTCATGTTCTCATTCTGCCCTTCTCTGTGACACCTGGGGGTCATTTTTGCTTCTTCCCCCTTACATTATAGGCATAGAATATGCTCTAATCGAAAAGCGATGCAGTCTGTATGGAGTCCCTGCCATCAAGAAGTACACTCAATGAACTTTCTGAAGGGAGCTCATATAGGTAAAATTTTGCACTAGGCCCTCTGCCACTTCAACATGGAAATCTACAATTTTGTATAAAAAGGTGGGTTATCGTCTCAGAAATTAACATTTTCCTAATATGAAAATGTATTTGTTATAGATACTCACCTCTACACACATTTCTACCCATCTTCCCCACTTCTGGTGAGCATGTTTTGTCTTGCCTTGTCAAAGAAGTGCATAGGGGAGTTACTGCGCATGGAGATTGTGTTGACCTCCTATTGTTGGAGTGCTTTTGTTGCATGATGATGTCATCATGCACCAGCACACATGTTAATCATGTGAATATATATGGGAGTTACCTAAAGGCTAGTGGCATGCAAATCTCTTAGTCAGGCAGGTGAGGAAGATAGCATTTCCGTGTGATGAGGTGAGTATCTATTGGAAATTCATTTTCAAATTAGGAAAATGTTAATGTTCATTTGCATGCATGAAATGTTGGTCACATTAAAATATGTATTGAAGATAGAGTTTTCTAAAATAGATGAAGAAAATGTAAAAACAATCCCTCCTCCTTTTTGTGTTGTATTTCATTTCACATTTCTTGTCTACTTTTTTTTTTTTTTTTTGAGAATTGAGTCTTCTTTCCTTCCATCTCTCTCTCTCTCTGAAGTCATGGTTGAAGCAGTTATAATCTTAGTGTCAAACTGAATGGAAAGTTTGGTTGCTGAAATTACATATGTACTAGGCCCACAATATTTTATTTTTGTGTTAGGTAACAATGGAATACCTACCCGGAGGTTCACTGACTGATGTTGTCACTGAAACCTGCATGGATGAAGGGCAGATTGCTGCTGTTTGTAGAGAAGTAAGTAAGATTCAAGTAACATTTATGTTATAGTGGAAGTACTTTTTTGTTTTGTATTTATCATTGGTGTCACATTTCGCAAACCATGTATATAATAAACTAAGACAAGGGAAGCTAATGAGAAACTATATTGTGAAGCTGTTTGTGTGATACTTGATTCAGATGTGGTGGTATTAACTATGAACTAATGAAACAGCTTGTATTTTTAATACTAATTATTTTATTGAGAAATTATCTTTCAACTAAACACTGTTAAGACATCTCGAAAGCAGGAAGTCTGTGGTTGTATATATTAGTCCAGAAAGAGAAAATGATAAATTTTGAGCATGTATATAACAATTAAGAAAGAATATGTTCTGGAAATATTTGTAAATGTTCACTTTCAATTTTATCATGTCTGTGGTGTGACTTTAGAGTTGTTATAACACACTATCAGTCACACAAGCTTATAGAATCTTTTTACAGGGTTATGTACAGTCTGTAAACTATCATAAGAGGACTGAGCACATGTCCTATCAGCATCAAGATCTTTTGTAAAGTTTTATACAACCTGTAAACTTTTATAAGGACACTGTGCACATGGTCTCTCAGTAGCACAATTACAATGTTTGTTAGGTTTTATACAGTCTGCTAAACTAGTTTAATGGGAACAAGCACTGATCTCATGGCATTTATTTTTACTTGGTAATTCATAGGGTAATGGGTAAATTCTAAATAAATATTACAAAAAAGGCTTTAGGGCAGTCATCTGGCATGCTAAGGGTTCATATTTTATGTCCCATTGCTTCAAAAATGCATTTTCCACTTTTTGCTCATGGATGTGCTAAAAGGATGCAATCAATTGTCACTGTTTCATCAGAAAAGAATACCCCAAGAGTTAGTGATGGGTTCTGTTGACTAGTTGCTTTCCCTTTAGTCTGTCATTTCAAAATTAAGAATGATTATTTGTATCTAGTCTTTGTGTAGCTTTGTGCAATAATTCTGAAACAAAGAAACAATTTATCTGTCTTTAATAATGAAAGTTATAATCACCTTAAATCAAGGGTTTTTGATTATCGTGAAAATATGGTATAATGGCAAAGTGGATGAAAAGAGGTATTTCAAATATTAAAGATATTTTAAATGCTACAATGAAAGTGTTCCAAAGCCAATTTTCTCCTCCAAAAAATAATCACAAATTTTGATGCAAATAATGACTAATGGGAAACTAATTCTTCTTCTTATTATTTTTTTACACAAATAACGACTCAAAGGTTTTTGAAAAATATATAACTGTGTAAAATGTAAAATTGCTGGATACTTTTAACGTATACAAATCTCAGATCTGTCTGCTTGCACAAAGAATTGGCTCTCATCTTAATTTAGAATCAGGCCTAATGGACAGTGTACTTTTAAAAATCCTTATCATTCCAGTTTGCTCACAAAAAGTATAAAAGCAATCCCCCATTGTTCGATTCCTTCCTAATATTCTGGATATAAAATAAAGTCAACGTACTACATCAGTGTTATCATTAGGAGAATGGGAAAGTTTTTATCTGTTGAAAATGTAGATAGTGTTTTTTATTAATTGTAAGAGAATGAAAATTGTATGATATGACCAATTAGCTATCTTTAATTAGAATCATTTTATATTTTTAGGGTTAACCTGATTTATTTACCCTAAAATTTACAATTTATTTGCATACTGTTTAGTACTTTTGGGATCCACATGTTGTGTCAGGTTGAATGATTTTACATTTTTGCCTGTAGCAACTCTCAGTCATATCCATTGCCAACTTTCACTTAATCCAGAGCTCTTCAGGCCAGCTGAGGTACAAAAAACACAGCAGTAGTTGGAACACCATGTATATAAGCCATTTGATACAATAACAGTTGTTATGGTGTTACGCCTTTTACAAGCCAGCGAAGAATGATAACAATTATACGTGTCATAAGACGTTAATATTAGGCCTACTACATTTTTAATATAGTCTCTTAGGGATTTTATAGAATTAGAAAACTGTATAATACTTGTATTCCAAACACTATATTGTCATATTCATTGCAGACTACTCATTTGCTTAATCCAAAGCTCCTCAGGTTGGCTGAGATACAACAATCACAGCAAATATGATTGTAATCTGAATAGGCATGCGTAGCTTACATTTCTAGAAAGAATTTCTTCAATGTTGATGATGATATCTCTAAACCATAAATTTACAAAGCATTTAAAACTAAAGTGGAAGAATATATGGTTTTCCAAATTCAAATATAAAAACTTGACAGTTTTTTTTACACTTAATGAAATTGCCAATATATTAATAAGCAGTGCTGATATAAATCTCTTCTGTAGGAAACGTTTTTGTTTCATTTCTAGCAAACACGTATATCATGTATCACTCAAGTCCATTTGTGCATAGAAGCACGTTACGCTAGTTTAGCAGTAAATTGACAGGATCAATACCTGAAGACAACAGATCAATAAAATAATTTTCATCATTAAACAACTCACAATTTTTAAAAAACAATGATTATTTTATTGATAATTCTATAAAAATTAGTTTAGCAGAAAAGGGTAGTATATAAAAAAATATAAAATTAGAATAAACATTTTTCAGTAGTCCAAAAGTGTAAATTTTGCATGCGTTTTGACAGAAATAAAGCTTTATGCAACATGTGATTTAAATGCCTAAAGTATTTTAAATGTGAGTAGATGAGCTTTGAATCAGCTTATCGGTCATTGGAGTTACTAATAGTATTGATAAGCTTAGCTCCGTGTTATAATTTAGTATAGGTTATGACTGATTGTTCAAGAGATTATTTACTGTTAATGCTTGAAAGGAAGTGAAAACTGAAATCATTATTATGTTGAATTCAGGAACTGTTGTGCAAGTGAGTGTACCTTATTTAAAGTGATATTATCTGTGTGTATTTCTTCAAGATCTTTCAGAATCATCTTTCTATCCTGCAAGAACTTGTGAAAAATCTTACTGTGGTAAGATGTCACAAGATATCCAGGATAAAATGTTGGGTTATTCTAGCTACGACATCTTTTTTCTCTCTCTTTTTCATCAGATATCTATCATTAATGTTGAAACTAAATAATTTATTTCATAACCTATGTCCCTATTTAACTGCCATCAGATTTGGTGTTTGTCAGATGCTTTAGTCTAATACTGACTGTCATTAAAGTTGTTTAAAGTACACTTAAATTTTAATATAGTAAAGTTGTGGCAATTAAATAAATTAGGATATTGTTTGTGAAAAGTTAGGACTATCCAATGCTTATTTCTTCCACAGTTTTCTATTGTCTTGTCACTTGTATTAATACTTAGTTGAATGTGAAGGAGACTAAAAACAAAAGCATACAAGTGTTTAATTAATACAAAAATGTGTGTATATTTGTTTCTTGGTAGCACTACTGTGGCACTAGCCACTACATTAGTCTGCATTTAGTTTTATCAGTTTTTAGTGACAGATTTTGTGATAGTTCCTTTAGTACTACTGATTTAGGTCTTACAAATCACAAGCAGTGAATAGGCAAGGTTTGAGGCAATCTTTGCTGTATTGTAAATTGCACAAGTAGACATAGTAATAAACAAACACCAGGTTCAATTAGTCAACATTCTCTGTTGTGGCATGCATGTAATAAAAATTTTGCAATCTTAAGTATTGTTTTAACATTATAGATCACAAAATTAAGGGATGCTTATTAAGCTTCTTAACTGAATGTTAAGTACTAAAGGAGTCACTGTTGGAGCACCTAATAACAGTTTGTTAATAAGGAACTACAGTGCTGTCATTGTTTTGTTTTTTTAGGTACTTCAGGCTCTAGAATTTCTTCATTACAACCATGTGATTCACAGAGACATAAAAAGTGACAACATTTTACTTGGCATGGATGGTAGTGTTAAACTTAGTAAGTATTTTTGTGTTTTTGTGCATCACTGATAATTTCAGTTGTGGTAAGTTATTTTTAAATGTTTTACATTTTATTAAGAAACACCCCCCAGTGGCACAGTGGTATGTCTGCAGACTTACAACGCTAGAAACTGGGTTTCGATACCCATGGTGGGTAGAGCACAGATAGCCCTTGTGTAGCTTTGTGCTTAATTAAAAACAAACAAACAAAAACAAACAATTAAGAAACACGTATATCATGTATCACTCAAGTCCATTTGTGCATAGAAGCAGGTTACGCTAGTTTAGCAGTAAATTGAGAGGATCAATACCTGAAGACGACAGATCAATAAAATAATTTTCATCATTAAACAACTCACAATTTTTAAAAAACAACGATTATTTTTTACAACTTTTTATGCTGTATGGTAAGTTATTGTATTTTAGTAATTTGGAGACTGGAAACAATCTAATTTTTATAGAATTATCAATAAAATAATCGTTATTTTTTAAAAATTGCGAGTTTTCTAACATTGAAAATTACACACGTGCCAAAAAAATTTTCATTATGTTTATAAATCATTGTTTGCCAATTTACTCTTCACTTGAGTACAATTTCTAGACATTATGATTTGGTAAGAAGTATAGTTATGCACTATCTTACACAGCATTATGTAAATTTATTTTGACGATAAAATTTGGAAAGAACAGCTATTTTTAGGATAGGTCATTATAAACAAAAACTCTAACTGTAAGTTAGTTTTCAAATTAAATTGTTGCACATTGAACATAACCTTTTTACCAAAATATGTAAGTATCGGTTACACAGCACTCTTGACACTGATATTTTAATTTTGTTTTTATAAAAAAACATCAGATATGAAACTAAATGGGCTTTACATTCGTGATCAAGCCCTCTCAGAGGTTCAGAGAGGCCTGGGACACTTCTGTCTTTTGAGGCCCATAGCTATAATAAAAATGAAAAATGATGACACATGAAAACAAAATAAGACAGTCATTAGCCCAAAAGAAAAGTGAAATGTAATTTGAATATTTAATTTGTATATATAATTTGAAGCTCTAAGCTGAGAGTGTGTGTGTCACATTTTGGTCTAATTCGGAGGCACATAGAAACAAGTTGCAAAAAAATAACAAGTGTCTAAATTTGAGGATCAGGACAAATGGCCAATCCTTAATTGGCCCTATCAATGATTTTTTTTTGTGTATGCAACTCTTAAATCATAAAGCTTAGATCAACATTCAGTGTTTTTTTTTAATTGACCACTATATTTAACAATCCTTTAGAAAAGCTTCTGCCACTAGAAGAGGGAGCACTAACTGGATTAATAGTAAGATATTATTATAATTGAGAAACTCAAGCTCCAAAAAAATATCTAATGACATTTTTAACCTGATGTTTTTGTCACTTATTAGTCTCATTTGTAATTTATCTGTAAAGTTTGAGGATCCTTTTAGAATACATTCAAGTAATGCTGACTGATAATTTGATAACATCAACTGTTTATAAGTAGCACTATCACCACATGTGGTGTAACATGTGCTATGAAAATTGGAGGGGCTCTTCATGGTTGTTATTTATCAAAGTATGCTGATTGGGGGGAGAGCTACAGATTTAAAGAACAGCAATTCCTCTGATGTTAAGTCCTTTGTCTTAATGTTGAAATAATATGTAAAGCCAGTTGAGCATGTTCAAACATTGACTTATAAATAACTGTAGTGTAAATTAAGACTCCATCTAAAGATTGTTTTAAAGTATTGTTTATAATACCACATGAACTTAATTTTTTAGAAACAAAGTTTTATCTTTTAAAAACTTTATATCTAGAGCTATTGTCAAAAATTATTCCATTTTTAAGCACCTTTATTTAGGGTGTATACTTTCAAACTGAAGAAGCAGTACCATTACAAATTAAAATATGTTAGTTAAAAGAATTGTTGTTGTGTGCATGATCTGATTGTCACATTACTCACTTATTTAATTTCAATAACAAAAATATTTCATGGATTCAGTTCATCACAATGTAATTTGAAAGTTAACTCTCTATTCTATATTGTAATATACAAGTAACAAATCTATCATTGTTGCTTAACTCTTTCAGCACGGGCTTGATCACTGGGACTGACCTCGTAACCATTTTGTGCTTGTTATAGTTTTCATGCTATAACTTTTAAATTAGTAAGCGTATCTTCACAAAATTTGGCAGATTATCAGTAAACATTACAACATTTTCATATGCAAAATATCAGATTTTTTTTATTAACTCTTAAGATTTGTAAAGCAATATTTTTCTCATGCCTTTTTTTTTCTTTTCACATGTTGCCAAGCCAACATGCAAAGTAATTTTCCTTTTAAGATTAAATATACTTTTGTGCATCAGAAAATTTTCAAAGTTCACATGCAAAATCTTTATAATCTTTATAACATTTCTTAAGAAAAAACTTTATGTTTTATCTGCTATTTTCATTAATGAATCTCTGTACGAGTTTGATCGATTTGACTGATCTCATAATCATGTTAAAAAATTAGGAAATAAATACAAATTAAACCTTTTTCATTCTAGAATGACTACAGTTTATAACACAAAAACATAAATGTTTAGACTAAATAGCTTAAATCTCATAATGTTATACATTTATATATATTTATTAATTTTATTATATTGACCTTTCAGCCATACCTAGCTAACAATACAGAAGCTACAATGACGAGGTGCATGTGCTACCATATTTAATAATATAAAACTGACCTGTCTTGGCTGTGTTTTAGTAGACTAGTATTTTGTAAAATACATTCACATTTCAGTTATTATACATTATATATGTATATAGATTATTGCTATTTAGAAATAAGTTCTTAAACTTATTTTTCTTAAAACATAAAACAGTAAATAAAGAAGTAAAGCAAATAGTTATCTCTTCCAGTTATGACCTTTGTACTCGGTTGCTGCTTGACGTAGATTGCTAAGCCTTTAAACATTTTGCATGTGGAGGATATGAAAACAAATATTTTTTTTAGGTTTTATATATGCATTTGAATAACTAAAAAATCATAAATTACTACATC